CCTGAGCTCGGCGGCCGGAGCTCTTTTGGGTGCTGCCCCGCGGGTCTCCGCTCCCGCCCAGGCTCAGGGCGCGCGGCCCTTAGAGCGAAGACCGAGCGGGTGTCAGAGCCGCTCCGCCGCGGACGCCTGGCCGCCCGGACTTGAGTTTCTCCATTTCCGAAACTGGGGAGGGAGTCGGTAGGAAAATGAAACAGGGGTTTGGGGTCAGGCAGCCCTGAGTCTCAAGTTGGTAGGGTTGTCAGTAAAATAACGGGACACCCAGTTTCTTTGGAATTTCAGATAATGAATAATTAAAAATCTGAAATTCCAATGGAACTGGGCGTCCTACGTTTTCTGTGGCAACCCTGCTTGGACTATCTGTGTGGGCAGTTAGGCCTATCATGTCCTCAGGGCATTGCCAGCGCCTGCACATGCCCACACACACCATGTCTGTTGAAAGAGCGGCTTAGGAGGGCCGGGAGTCTGGGCCCGGAGCGGCTTAGGAGGGCCGGGAGTCTGGGCCCCGTGAGACCTTGGATGTCACTTCCAGTCCAGCCACAGGCCCTGACTCAGCCCATTCCCAGAGACCCAAAGGGAGTGAGGGGCTGAGCCAGCGTATCTAGGAGCGCAGAATTCTGGGGCTCTCACTCAGCCCTGTGCCTCCAGACCCAAGGGAAGTGTGGGGCCAAACCCCAGTTTCCTGGTGTGCTGCTCTAACACCACTGAGTTTCCACAACCCACCCACCCAACCTCCAGGGCGGGTGAAGAGCTGAACACACCGGATGTCTCAACTTCCTGCTGAGTCAAAACAAGAAATTCTCCATGGCTTGTGTTAGCTCAGAGAGGTTGTCACCCAAGGCCACCCAGGTATCTAGGGGTGATGTCCTATATCATCTATATCTACATCTGTATCTGTATCTATATGTGTGCTTCCAGGAACCCGCACTCCAGTCCCGCAACATAAGCGTTCCCTTTCCTCTTCTTCCCCGTCAGCCATTTCCCTCCTTTTCTCTGAAGGCCAGTGGGATGGCAGTGTGGTGTAGCTGAGCAGCTTTCCCTAGGTCCAGAGTCATCCAGGTCCGGGGGTCGCTCTTGGCCCGCACAGCCCCCCCCCACCACACTGTCCCTACCCACTCTCAACTCCAACCACAGGGAAATGTTCCTTTATTTCAAGTGCCAGGTTCTCTCTCACCCCAACCCTTTGCTGTGCCCGTAACCTGGGACCCTCCTAGGGTTGCATCTGACTCTTCTGATATCAGTTTAGAGGTTAGAAACAACCCCACCTATCAAATACTTAGGTGGCATCCCTTCCCTGAGCTTCATGGCCCCATGCTCCTTCACAAGGCTTTGTTATACCAGGTTGCTTTTGTCACCACCCCCTCAACCTGCCCCACCCCCGACTGTGAGCTCTCTGAAGGTGGAACCTGTGCATCTTGCTCCACCTCCAGGTGTCCAAAGCCCAGCAGAGGGCGTGTCACATACATAGCAGGTGCTCAATAAATATTTAATGAGTTAATGAGGTCCATTTCCACCCTTCCATCTTACAGATTAGGCCAGCGAGGCACAGAGAGGGTTAGCACTTTGCCCTGGTCGCACAGCCAGGCCCCAGAGCAGCACTAGAAGAAAGGCCAGCTTGGGCACGGTCGGATTGGACTGATGTCAGAGGCCGGGCTGGAGTCTCCTGGAGGAGGGAGAAGGAACGATCAGGGGCTATGTGGGCACTTTGCTTCTCTGCTCCTGGTGATGTTTGTTTGGCGAGGGCCCTTGGTCTGCCCACCAACCAATTCTGCCCCCATTTCTCAGATGAGAAAAGTAACTATCACAGGAGAGCAGAGCTTACTCAAGATCAACAGTGGACCCAACATAGTGGTTCCCAGAACTGCAGGTCCCTCAATACCCCAACTTTGCCTACCTACATCCTTAGAGGGCCTTTTTTGAGCCAGGGGCAGGGGCCTATGTTCTCGGACTGACCTTGCCACTTACCGGTGCGTAAGCCCCTTAAAGTCTCTGGGCCTCCGTTTCCCCATCTGGATGACAAAGGGCCTGGGATAGAGCCTTCAGCCTCCCCCCTTTCCCAAAACATGAGGACAGGGCTACAGGAGCTGGTGAGTAAGAATATAGGGCTTGTGAGTCCGAAAGGCATAGTCGAGTCCTGGTTCCAGCATTTATTGCTGAGTGATCTTGCTCAGTCCCTTCAACCCATCAGCCTCCATTTCATGGTCTGCAAAAAGAAAATAATAGCATTTTTGAGGATATAATGAGCTAATGTGGGTAGTCCCTGGCACAATGCCAGCCTGGCACAGCATGGCCATCAAACAGGGGTGTGTCCTATTAGTTAGGGAATGCTGCCCTCTGGAGGCCGCCTGGAGGAACAGCAGGCGAGGGGAGCCCGACCCGCGGACCAAACCAGGCTGGACCGCGCGCGCTCCGGGCTTGAGCCCATTGTCCAGATGGGGAGAGCGCGGCCCGGCGCGGGTCACTCGGTGTGCGCCTCCACCCACTGGCAGAGGCGACGGGCGTAGAGAGCCGGGCTGACGGTGGAGAAGGTCCGGTTCGGGTAGCGCAGCGTCTTCCACAGGTGCTCCAGTCGCTTGCGGAGCCCGTAGACGGTGGCGAGGTCCACGAGGCCCAGGAAATAGCGTTGCTCCGGCCCGTCCAAGATGTGAAGGGCGTTGGGGCCGTCGGGCAGCAGGCGGAGGTTCTGCGCTCCCGGCTCCTCCGAATTCTGTGCCCCTTGCACAGACCTGGGGGCCCACAGGGAGGTGAGGCTACCACCTCCTCCGGGGGACCCCGGTTGACCCTTAAACGTGGCCAGGCTGCCTTTGGGTGGCACTCTGCCCTCTAACCCTGTGCTTCCCTTGTTCATTTCCACACCTTCTGAGGGCCAGGCTGTGACGTCAGATAAACTGGGAGGCTGAGTAAAGTGTAGCTGATGGTCTAGACCTGCACTGGCCCATAGGTAGCCACTAGCCGCATGAGGCCTTTGAGCAATCATATGTGGCCAGCCCAACTGAGTTGAGATACACTGTATGTGTAAAATATATTCTGAATTTCCAAGACAGGGTGAGCAAAAGGTTGTAAAATATCTCATGAATATTTACATTGATTAGATGATGAAATGATAAAATTTTGAATGTATTGAGTAAATAAAATAGATTAATATTATTTTTACCAGTTTCTTTTTACTTTAAAGAAGCGACTAGAAAATGTAAAACTACATGTGTGGCCTTCATTACATTTCTATTGGGTAGTGCAGTTCTAGAGCATTGCGGCCACGCAGACCCTGGCTCTGCACTCACAGGCCACGCCACTTTGGGCAAGTCTTGTCTTTGGGTATTTCCTAAACTTCTGTTTGGGGTCGTCCAGCCCTGGAAGTTTCAAGGTAGTAAAGCTGAGACCTTGAGAACAAAGCCCAACTCGTTTGCAGACGGTGTGTGTTTTGTTTGTTTGTATGTCTGTTTTCCTCAAAATGTATCCAAGTCAGAAGATGCCTTTCATTGGGCCGCAGCCCCAGCCAGAAGCAGGTTCAGTTTCCTGACTTTGTTCTCCTGGAGGTGGGGAGGAGGTGGAGGTGGGGTGTCACTGAGGGGCTTTATTCCTGCCCTGCCCAGGGAAGTAGGCCAATGGCAGTGGTCTGGAAGGCCAGTCAGGGTGCTGGTATTCTCTGCGGTGCCAAGGTGACATGGGTGCTGGAGAGTCGTGTGTGTGTGTGTGTGTGTGTGTGTGTGTGTGTAGGGGTGTTTTGAATGAGAGGCTGGGAACTGGGTGGGGGTGGAGCTTGGACAGTGGTTATTTACCAGCCAGCACAAAAATACTTCAATATGACAACTGTTATATGCAAACCCTGGCTTACTGGTTGAATGATAGCTGTGACCTAAGTGCCAGCGGGGGGTAGAGGCCAAGGGAGAAGCTGATCTAGCTTGGATGGGCAGACTTGAGGAGGTTCTGTGCCCCATGGCAGGAACTGCACCTTCTGGTCAAGATGTGCTCAGCCCAGCCAAAGGGCATGGGGAGCCATCACCCTGGATCCTGCCCAAGTAAGGGGTGGGGATGAGGAGCTGGGTGAGTGGGTGTCATTCATTTTTCACTCGTCTTTTCCACCCACCAGCTCAAGGGACTTATTCCCTTGAAGTGCCTGTCTTAATCCTACATAATTCTGTTTAACCACAGAAGTGGGTCTTGGACTGCAATCCAATGAACTAGCCAAGTACTAACATGAATCTTCAGAAGTCATTCTACAACTTCCCTTTCCTTCTCTGAGCCTCAGTTTTCACATCTTTAAAATGGCAATGAGCCACTTTAATGAGGCTCATGGCCAGCATGCAAGGAGTGACGGTTACTATTACAAGGGGAGGACAGCATGCTGTTGGTGCCAATGGTGATGACCTCGGGGCCCTAGAAGTGGAATGACTGGGTTAAGAGGTAAGAGCTTTCTAAGACAACAATTAAATAGGTCTGAAACCTGCAATGGCTCCAAATCCCGTTCTGAAAAATGGGCAGATTCTCCGAATCCAGACTAAAGCCCTTGTCCAACTGAATCTCGCCTGTCCTTGCTCCTGCTGTGGTCCACCTGTGCCCACTACCCCTGGCAGCCAGGCCTCTCACATGTGCGCACACTCTCTCTCACACTGCACTTTCCAGTCTTCAAGCCTTTGCCGATTCGGTTCCCCACTTGTCCGTCTGTCTGTTTTTCCCACGCTCTCATCACCTCATTCTCGCCGTTGCCCCTGGGGGCGCCCACCTGGCTGTGTGGAAGACGAGGCTGCTGCCTGGGCCCCTCTCATCCCCCTGGAGATGCTGGAAGGCCATCAGGAGGCTGTAGTCCAGCACGTTGAGTTCCCGGAGGAAGGCGGTGTCCAGTTCCATCTGCCTGAGGAGCCAGCTCCGCTGGGGCCCTGCTGGAGCATCAGCGCCTCTGCCTGAGTACTCGTGTGCCAGGCAGGGTGCTGAGGGCTCCACACACATCTGCCCCGAAAGGGTAGGTGTCGTTACTGTCCCATTTCACAGATGAGGAAACTCATCTGTAATTTGCCTTGGTCACCTAGCTAGTAAATTGTGAAGGCAGGATTTGAACCCGGCTCTGCCTGACTCCAGAATCTGGGTTCTAATGCCTTGGGCAGAGGACAGTGCCAAGGACACCCGCCTGACTTCACCCTAAATGGAGGAAGAGCAGGCAGCGATGGCTCTGTGGCTCACCCAGGTCGATGGTCTTGCCCTGAAAGTTGAGGTCCTTCAGCACCAAGACAAGGGGGCTGCCCTCAGGGGCCGGCTCCACCCATCGGCTCACCTCACAGCCCTTGATGTCATATCTGGAGGTGCGGGGAGTTGGGGAACACAACAAAATTCAGCTTTACACAGACTTGAGACACAAAGGGACTTTCACAAGGTAATAAGACGAAACAAGAGCTTCCACGGGGTGACTGTTCAGATCCTCAGCACAACTCTATCCTATTATTATCCCCATGTTAGCGATGAAGTGTAAGGCTCAGAGAGGCTCTTTGACTTGCCCAAGGCCACCCAGTAAGTAAAGGGCAGAGCAGGGACTTGAACTCAGGCCTTTGGAAGTCCAGTGCAGCCTGTGCCTGACTCTCGGCACCTTGTCATCCCCCGGGGGTGTCCCGGGCACAGGGGTCCAACCCTAGGCAGGAGCACCAGGAGGGCCTGGAGGGACCCAGAGGCCCTGCGGGAACTCTAACCGGGAGCCTCAGGAGGGCAGAATCAGGCCTGGGAGGCGCTGAGGGCACCGTTCAGTCAAAGGTTGGGCTTGAATCCCTGCTCCTCACAGAGCAGCTGTGTGGCTGCTTGCCTCAGTGTCTCATCTATAAAATGGGAGTGATAACTCCTACCCCTCGGGGTTGTTATGGAAACAATATGAATGCAGGTGGCTCAGCACAGTGCCCCAGGCATTCTGAGTGCTCAAGAGAGGACAGCCGTGTCTCCGACGCACCAGGAGACCCTGGGAACGCCCCTTCTCCCCGGGTCTTCAGATTCGCGGTCTATCTAGTGGGCGTGGGTGCTTCGGGGGGCACATCCCGAGCGGGGCCGGGGCCCTGGAGGCCGGCTCACCTCTGGGAGATGCGGCCGGCGGGATAGAAGACGCTCTGCATGACGATGAAGAACTTCTGGGAACGGGGAGGGAGTGAGGGAGGCCAGGGTCGCACCTGCCGCCGCCCCTCCGGCCCGGCCCCCTCGCCTCGGCCTCACCCACCTTCTTGCCCCGGGCCACCCGCAGACTGTGCACTCCTGGAAGGGGGGAGGGCGCCGGGTGAGGGGCCCCAGACTCTGCAATCCGGGCTCCATGGCGCCCTAGTCCCAGCTCCAGGCCAAGCCTCCCCAAGTCCCGCCGCATCCCG